CTGACCAAAACTGGATGCAGTATTCCAAGTGTGGCCTTACCACACTTGGAATACTGCATCCAGTTTTGGTCACAACGATATTGATTTCTGATGGTTTGAGGAAAAGGAACAAAGAAGAGTAGTTTCTTAAGAGAAAAAGAGTGATAACAAAATAAATTTCACTAAATAGGAGTATGCTGTGCTATTTATTTATTTGTTTATTTATTTATTTATCATTCCACATACAATTTAATAAAATAGCATTTTATTTCCCCCCGATGGGATACACAAGAATTGCTTAATTTTCACAGTAATTTCTCCAGCAATTTTCAGCCTATTTTGGTTTCAATTAAATTCCAAGAGAGGTCATGAGTTCGCCTCCTCTTTGGCTTTTTGACTCGTGGTACCTCCTACCCTTCATAGATTGCTGGAAAACTCTTTTCCCTAGAGAAAATTCAAGAAATGATCCACCCAGTTTCTTTTCCTAAAAAGCCTGAGGCAGAATTTTAAAAAGCTCTTTATGCTCAGCATTACATTGCACAACAGAAACATTTATTAAGAATTGGCTACTGACTTATCAGCCCAGTATTCATTTCCTAGTGTCTCATACCTTGACGCTGCAATAATTGATGAGTTTAATCCTCCATAACAAGACATTGCCACTGCAATAGGAATGATCCATTTAGCATGGCTAAGAGCTTCATTACCAAATGTCTGCAACAGAAAAACATAGAAGAAAAGATTCATTCAGCTAGCTTTCCTAAGTCAGGGAAATTGACTGCATGAAAATTTAAGTTCTAGCATAAAATTATACTCAGTGAATTCTGACAAAACCAGCATCTTGATAGAGTCTTTGAATTTAGGTACCTAACAGGGACAACTAGATTTCTAGTGATTAAGTAATAAAAGACAATAAAGACATAAAATAATTATTATGATGTGATAAGATTTTTTAATAAATATGGGAGAATTTTGTACAGTCCCAAATTTTTTGTAGGTAGTAAAAGAAATAGTCAACTATCTTATTTGCTTCTACCCACCTAGCATTTCAAAAGCATGCAAATGCAAGTAGATTAATAGGTATCATTTCATTGGGAAGGTAACAGCATTCCATGCACCTTTGGCATATAGACATGCTGGCCACATGACCATGGAAAATGTCTTTGGACAACACTGGCTCCCTTGGCCAAGAAACGGAGATGAACACCTCGCCCTAGAATCATCTTTGACCGGACAACCTTTACTCATATTTGTTCTACCGCAAAGTTTCCTAACATGGGGCTCTCCTGAAGTGTTGAAACTACATGGTCAAGAATTCTCAGCCACTTTGCAAATAATGTCTTCTCTTTATATTGCCTTCAAATTGTAGTCCAAACTGTATCTGGAGATGACCAGGTTAAAGAGGCTTTTGTAATAGTTCCATAAGATATGTATGTACGTATGCATGTATGTGTGTTTGTTTGTGTGTGTGTGTGTGTGTGTTGGTATATTGTAGAGGGAAGAATAATCAACTTGTAAAGGAGAATATATATAGCTCAGGATTGAAATGAGGGGCCCTTGGTGCTCTCTGAGCTTGGCTGTTTTCTTGCAGAGGTTTCATTACCTAAACTAGGTAATGTAATCAGTGCACTGATGATGTTACCTAGTTTGAGTAATAAAACATCTTCAAGAAAATAACCAAGCTCAAAGACAACCAAGGACCTCTCAATAATCAACATTGTGAGAATAAAGGAGTGAGAAAATGAATGATACTGAGTACGTACAGTATGTGCATTGTGTATGTTGTAGAAAAATATAATTTGATTCTATCACTTTAAATAAAAGCTTTCCCTGACTAATAATGAGGTATTCTCACAAGTCAGTGATTCCAATTAAATAGAAAGTTGTTTTCAAGTGTGATAACTTAGGAAGAAGCAAACCTTTTGAACTGGCAGGCTGGTTTAGAATATTGAAAGCATACTATAAGAAAGGTGCCCATGGGAACAGGGGTGGGTGGGTGGGTGAGGGGAACAAATGATAAAAACAGTGCCATGATGCTGCACACACAAAAAAAGAGCTTGGTTTGTGATGTTGTGACACTGCTTTAGTTATTTGGGGTGAAAGTATCAGATCATTTGGACACTCCTCCCTATCATGGTTAGCTTGTTTATAAAAAATGGCAGCCAAATTATTGTGACCAATAACAAAACATCTATTGACCAAAACACAAACTCTAGAGGTTGTACCTATCAGTTCCTCCAGCCCTTGAGGATGCTTTCTATCATGTTGTTATGGTTATCCTGGACAGGTGGATTGCCAAACTTCCATACAGCACACCAATCATTTTATAAGTATACTTATCTTATTACAAAATAATTAAAATTTGTAGCTGGCTTGCTTTGCTTTAATTATTTTGTAAACAAGATAATAATTTATTATCCCTGTAATAAAATAAAATGAGCCAAGGGTATGAAACCTAGTGGGAACCTTTGGGCAACATACTGCTGATTCTTGATATAGAGTTGATATTTCTGTTCTGCTTTCCACCAGTATTCCACTTTAGTGTTCGGAGGTCAGATTGACCATGCTGCAATTCGAAAGAGATGTTCCTGAATCAACACTGGATTCAAGTGTTGGATGAGAAGCAACAATTCATGGGAAAGGAGTCCTGTGTCTCCGTCTATTTATGTCCTCTGTTTAATGTCCATGGAACTTACTGCTCTAAAGTAAAGTAACTCCCAGGGTCAAAGTATTCCCAAAGAAGAACATTTGATAGCTTCCAAAACATGGGTTGCTTCTTCAGAATAATAACTCACTTTAAAAGCAAGACACAATCTTGCTAATTCAGAATCAGGAGGTTACATTTGCAATGCAATGATAATGTTGCTTAGTGATAATTTCTAACAGCTTCCTGTCTATTTCCTAGATTCTTAGTTCTTAACTATTGCTCTTCTACATGTTCTGAATAATTTATATATCTCTATTTTTGTCCCTTAATCACTGATAAAAATGTCTAATTCTGTTTCTAAACTCTCAAACTTCAAAGATTGCAAAATATATGCAAATATATTTTATTTCCTTATTTACTGCCTACAATTTTAATTCAGAATTATACTCATAATAAATTCCATCACTTGAAAACAAGGAGTCATTGCTATATCCATAAATTGCCATCTCATAAATTTTAACAGGAAACCAATGAATTGCATGCAGCTCTGAGCATCCAGCAAGACCTAAAATTCATTAGCAAAATGATTGCATTTTGATTGTAATAGTTCAGACCATGGGCCAGGGGGATATTCAGTTTATATGAAAATAATGGTTTGTTTACCAGGTGATTTTTGCTTGCATTTGCACCCTTAAACAATTGCAATACCTCTCCTACCTCCAATGGGCCAAAAGAGATTCAGCCATCTAGTGATACTGCAAAAGTACTAAATTATCTGGCTTTCTAGGAGCTCAAGGTTTTTTCTACTGCACATGTTGCTTCTTGTATCAAAGCATCTAAGAAAATGAGCTGATATTAAGTCTGATGTATATTTCTGTGACTCAAAATCTAAAAGACTACTAAGATTTAAAATCAACAAAGAGTGTAATTGATTTAGTCACATGCTGTCTCTATCCAACATAGATTTCCCATAGCAGCAGGAAATTTTACAAGGGTATTTGAACACATGAGAAGTTTGGCTTAGTAGCACCTGTAACATATGGCTCTGATGAAAACAATGCTATGCCATTTCATGCTGTGCTTTTGTATGTGCCTCATGACATCATACAAGATCCCAAAGGGATGGAGTTGTGCAATATCACAGCACTGCTTTTGTTATTTTGATGAAAGCAGCAAGGCACTATGGACATTGTGTTTGGACTGAATGAAAGGCAAGTGGTAAGTAGACATAAAAATATATAATGTGTTTATTATTCAGGTCAGCCTTCTTCAACCTGCTGTTCTTCAGATGCATTTAAACTCTTGGAGTTGCAATTCAATACCTGTAGATTTTCTGAGATTGGGGAAGGCTGCCCATCAGATGCACCCAACAATTTATAATGCACAACATACCACAGCCACGGCATCACTTGTTAAGAGAGCAGACATATCCAACACGACATAGTAGGCCACATTGGTCAGCAAGTAAATAATAGTCACTATAGGCATTGATATGGCAATGGAAAGTGGAAGGTTTCTGAAGAAAGAAATAAAACAGCAGAATACATTAAGTGCACCTGAATTAAGGATGAATCCAAACGGATAAAGCAAGTATTAATACAGCAGTTTATATATGAATGTATCTTTCTACATTACTGACCTTAATCAAATATATATACATAAAGAAACCCATGCCATATGCAAAAGGATGAGGAAGAGATATATTTATCCAGCACAAACACATACCTTTCTGGGTTTTTCATTTCTTCAGTGACAAAATTCAATGTATCCCATCCAGAGTAGGAAAAGAGGGCAGAATAAAGAGCAAGTGCAACAAATCCTGCATTTGTTGTGGAACCTTCAAATGGTTCCTTAAGGTTTTCAGTTTTTCCTGAAACATCAGAAATGTGAGGTTTTGTTTAAATTTAGGCATATAGGTATTTTATATGTACTCAGGTAAAAGTGGGCAGGAGTGAAATATTCACTGCATAAAAATCATGGTCACATTTTTCCTTTCCATAACTCAATTCATAGTTGGTTATATTGCTTGTATATTCTTTTTACCCTTCTGGGAAGCAAGTTTCTTCATACCAGTTTTCTGGCATCAGAGGAGATAAGTTACAAAAGATCATTATTTAGTTATGTGAGGAAAGATATGCCGCTTGGAAGCAAGTTCTATACAATGACACATTCTTCCAAGAATTTTCTTTATAGAGTTACTTTGCCCCCATTAGATTTAAAAAGAGCTAATAAAGATAATGAATGAACTCAAAGCAGCTCCCTGTTAAAAAAATATAAAATAAAAAACTACATCTGGATTGCTCAGGATAATTGCTGCAATCTAATAATTATCTGCTAGTATATGGTTAAAGGTGTTTTTGGAAATAATGATGACTAAGATTTTGACACATTACCAAAAAAATGGATTTCAAGAAGGATGGGATGCTGATAAAGATTGTTTTATCCACTCTTAAAAGCTAGGTATTTTGATGTGTTCTCTGGTCTACAGTCATAAGAATAATTAATATAATTTACTCAGTTACAACCATAGATCTGCATGTCCAATATCAAGTTATTCAGAGCATTGTAGAAATTGGAAACAAGAGTTGTGTGGAAACAAAGTGCCAAGAGGTCCATGACTCTAGAATGATGGATCACAATGTTTTTTTTTCCTGCATAGGAGGAATGAATCATGTCAAATATATACACACTGATATCACAGAACGAAAAGGTAAAGTGTGACTTAAAATCAATCATTTCCTCTAACTACTATTTATTTTGCCATATTTATAACAGTAAGTTCCTTCTTACCTTGACTAATTTTATAAAGGCCCACAGCTATGACCATGATAAGAGCCATCACTTTTGCATAGGTGAAAAGATCCTGTACTCGGGTTCCCCACTTCACATTGACACAATTAATAAAAGTCAGGGAGCCTTACAAAAAATAGGAAACAAACATAATAAACATTGTTAGCTGCATTTAATTAGAACACACAAGCTATTTGAAGTATCTCTTTTAACAGTCTGGCTATTTTTCGAAAGTGTAGGTGAATGTATTAAAGAACTACAGGTAGTCCTTGTTTAGCACCATACTTGGGACCAGCAACTCAATTGTTAAGTGAAGCAGTTGCTAAATAAAATTACAATTGTGCCTATGACTGTACGTCAGCTTTCTTTTGCTTTACAGACCTTTGAAGATTGTAAATGCAGGGATTGGTCATAAAGTTACTTTTTCATCATCGTCATAACTGTGAACTGTCACTGAAAGAAGCATTTGCTAAACAAGGACTACCTGTAAAGGTCAGCACCCAATGCAGTCCAAAAACAAATTTGCTAGCAGCATATAGATAAAAATGAGTCATCTCTTTTTCCTCCATATCCCTTCAGCAGGTGGCAGAAACCAAAACAATTGGAACAATATAAACTATTCTTTAAAGAAAATACTGATTTGTAAATGGTTTATTTGATGGATAATGCTGTAATTTCTGAACATGTTTAACCAGATTTGCCAGTTTTGAAATGGAAATATAATCAATCAGATCATAAGAGTAAACAACGAAGAAATGCCATCCTAAATGTCCTCTTATTTCGCCGGCAGGCTGATTAAGACAAATTGTGAAAATTTGTTGCAATACTGCACATATTTTCAGAAAAATAAATCACACTGAGTGCAGTATTACAATTTTCATTAAACATTGAAAAGATTGCACAATTTTTTGAATTCTTTCCTCAGACATTTAATTTATATAGGTTTGGGAAACCTTTTTGTTTCATTTCAAGTTCCTATTTTTAAAGAGCAGAAATGTAAATGATATTACAGGGGTGTCGGGAAGGTGAAAAGAAGTTCAGTTTCAGTTATATGTTGAATATATATAACAATATATGACCATTTTTAGGTGCAAGGCCAATAATAGTTAATTGTGAATTTGTTGCTCAAAATAGCTGGAAGCCACCAGATTGCCATTGTCTAGATTGCATGTCCAAAGTTATAATGTTGGGTTAAAGGACAAAGGGGGTGGACTAGATCTAAAGGACAAAAGGGACATTTCCAATGAAAACCAAAATCTAAAATCACCTGCGTGCATACTCTTATCTCTCTGGTAGTTAGCAGTAAACTATACAAAAACCTTTCATATTTAATTGTTTTCATCTTCAAACCAAGTCTACTGAGCTAATAAGAATTTAGAAAGTTCTTCTGATAAAATGGCAGTTTCTGGAATTTTTGGGGGGTCACTGTTCCAGAAAATGAATAAAACATATTATATTCTAAAACTGTACCATATATAATAAATTATTTCTTTGACCAAGTGAAATTTTACTTACAGATGCAGGCTGCTGCAATCAATCTAACTGCTCCATAGGGTGGCTCACAAAATGGAAATATTGGCTGAACAATGTAATTAGCAAAAGTAATTGCTATGACTGCCTGTGTGGTAGGTTCAATGATCAACAAGGAAGACCATAGTCTGATAAATGCTATAAATCCTCCAAAAGCTTCTAGAATATAGGCATAGCTTGCTCCTGATTTAATTATGGATGTCCCCAGTTCAGCATAACACAATGCTCCAAACAAAGAGAAGATCCCGCCAAGGGCCCAGAGTAGAAGTGCGAGTCCATATGAGCCACTATACATCAGCACACCCTTGGGTGATACAAATATTCCTGATCCAATCATGTTCCCTACAATTAAAGAAATGCCATTAAGCAAGGTGATTTCTTGTTTCATTTGCATTTTTTCCTTCTTGTTCTCTGCCACTGAGTCCAAGTCCTGTAATTCATTCTTGGATTTGTGTTTTTTATTACAGCATGTTGTCCAAGGACCCGTCATCTTCAGTTAATCATTACCTGGAAATAAGAACGAGAGAATGTTTTGTCTGGGGGGAAAAATGCGGAAACAAGGAACAGTTATACTGTAACACTTTAATTCCATGGAGGCTCATTTCTGTTATCAGTAGGCCAGGAGTTTTCAAATATTTTTTCAAACCATTGAATATGTTAGTTTAATAACAATAATCAACATCAACATCACCTAAAACCCCTAATCCAAACTCTTGTAATTAAAGTGAATTCTTTGTTTATTTCCTTAGTCTTTCACAGAACCCCATCAAGTTTTCATCCAAGTCTAAGGCCACAATCTCTGGTGCTCCAGGGTTTTTCCTACATGTAACTGCCCCTCATTGCAAATACACCTAATGCACTTGTTTTATAAGATAAGAATGCTTTGCTTGGACAGAGGATAGGAGAAGAAAGAAAACTTTAAGTCTAAAATTCATGATTAGAAGACCTACTTTTCTTTGCAGAAAAGTCTTCATAATAAAATTATGATTTTATGGTTCATGAAAAGCAGACTTTGAAACATTGATTCCAGACCTTTCCTAAATAAAAACAAAAGTTTATTGGTTTGGTTAGAAATTTAAAATACTAGTTAACACATAGTACATAATATTACTATGATTAATTTTTACTAGAAGCCTAAGCAGTGATAGGCACCACATAAAGTTTAGCTATTACTTTGTGTACTACACATGGAAACTTAATTTGGAGAACTTTCTTTTGAGAGCACCGTATGCACCAAAGTTAAAACCATACAAAGGACTATCCAAGATTGACTCAATAGTTTTTGAAGGCTAATATAGTATTTCTTCCCATTTCTACATGCAGAATACTACTAGGGGGATAATTGCTAAAGTGACTCAGGGACTGTCACTGGAAAATTTGGACCAATCACTGTCTTTCAGGCAACCCACACGATTGAGAATTAGGAGATATGAGTCATATAAAGCACTTTAAGTTCTCAAACAAAAGGTAGAATCTCAGTGCAATTGACAGTCACTTTCTCTTAGCCTACAATGCCAGGATGGGCAACAGGTCAGCAGTCAGTCAATTCTTGTTGCATCCAATGGATCAAACACTTGGTTGATCTGGAAAAAGAACACACCTTGGACTGGTAGGAAAACACTAAAAAGAAAAAAAAATGAGTTGTTTTTTTTGCTACAATATCTGAGAAATATTTGAGGAAGCCCTATCAGATTCTGGAGCATCCAAAATTATCTCCTCAAATCTGCCTTCTAACTTCCCAGTTTCAGCCACTTGAGGTAGTCATCTAACATTATTTTATTTTTGTTTTTAACTGTTTTTATTATATTTATATATAACTTTTCTGTTTTTATGTCTTTTTGTGCATCATCTAGATTTGTTCTGTGAGGGAGATGGATGGTTTCTAAATGTGCTAAATAAATAACATGGCCTTGGAGTTAATCTCCACTTCCTCCACTTCTCTTCTTATTAAATATAAAGTATCTTCTTTCAGCCAGTGAAACACTGACTAACCTCAGCTATCGCAGCTTTTTTTTTTTTCATATTGAGCATGAATATTGCTGGCCCATAGACATTTTCTAATTCATGCATGTAGTACTTTATGCATTCCAGCTTTCCTTTGACCCAAGAGATTATAACTGGATTCTTATGCTAATCCACAATGTGATTTGGTTCAGCATCTTTTGTGAATAAAGTCACTGAAGCTTGTTGCAGAAATCATGATTAAAATAAGTGTGACTAACTTGACTTAAAATGTGAGCCCAGCTATATTATCTCAAACTGATAGCCAGAATTACTTCTGTGGAAATAGCCTGACACACATAACCCATGATACGAAACTGTAGTTTCTTGACATTTTGATATTAGTGTATTACAACAAACAAGCCCAGCAATGCACAAATTAACTCCAAGTTTACCAGCTGGCAGCAATAATTCCTGAATGTTCTCATTTGCCTTAATGACAAAAAATAGCTAAGAATCAACAAAGACTTTCAGAGAGTTCCTCTGCTAAAATGAAGAAACCAACATATTTAAGATTCTGAAAGAATGCAGTTATAGCATATGTACAGAGAAGTCATTGCAGTTTGACTGTCAGCAGGGATGTGGAATAAATTTATGCAATTCATATTTGAATGTGAACATATCACATTTTTAATAATTAGAATTTTAATAAAATTCTAATTATTCTCCACATTTCTCCTGACTCCAAATTTGCAATATATCCACCATTTTTTTTTTAAAAAAATGCAATTCGGGAAATCAATAGAAGCGATTATATGTAGCTCAGGGTTGAACTGAGGCTTGCAGACATTTCATTAACCAACTAGGTAACATCATCATCAGTGTGAGTGAGTGTAGGATTTGCTTTCTGTTTAGGGAAAGTATATATTAGGGCAGTGGTGGTGAACCTATGGCACGGGTGCCAGAGGCGGCACTCAGAGCCCTCTCTGTGGGCACGCGTGCTGTTGCCCCAGTCCTAGGCCTTCAGCTGGGTTTTATAAAACCTTTTCGCTTTAGGCCTCTGCCGCCGTGTGCAAAAAAAAAAAGGTTCAATCAGTCAATTTCAACTTCTCGCGGGGAAAAAAAAGATCTTGCAAAGTTGGAACTGATTGATTGAATTTTTTAGTCCCACCCAGTCTGCTGTTACCACCGCAGCCACGCCCACCCATTGGGCCACACCTACCCAATTGGCCACACCCACCCAATGGGCCACACCCACCCGGCACCCGACGATGCATAAGTGGGTTTTGGGTTGCAGTTTGGGCACGCGGTCTCTAAAAGGTTCGCCATCACTGTATTAGGGGAAAGTCCTCACAAAACTATTTTCAATCTTGTTTTCCTTGTTTGCATGCCATCCTCAATACAATTGGATTCAAAGAAAATTCAGATAATTATTTATAATCTAGTGTAAAAAATGTGGTGGGATACTTTCTTTCAAGTCAGGCTATTATTCGTCATAATAATTACCTTGTTATTACAAAACAGCCAAAGAAAGCCTACTGAAATGTGTAAGGAATATTACTGGTAGGGAATATTACTTTGCTCATTTTTCATGACAAACACTCTAAAGAATTAAGCAGCACAGTAAAAATCATCTGTATAGTACCTGAGCCCATTAGATTATATTCTTTAGCCTGGGGGTGGGGGGTGGGGGGGGGTAGGAGAGAATTAAGAAAATCAAATTATTTAGTGATGGTGATGATGTACTGTGTTTATTTGAAGGGTGGCTTGATGAAATGATGAGAATAAACTGGGGCAGAATGACCTGTCCAAAAATGTGAAGAGCCTTTGCTAAGTGAACATTAAAAGCTTAGATTAAACCAAGAGCATTTTTGTTTTACAAAAAGTTTATAATGTGAATTAGCAATATCATTTGGTGTAACGGTATTATTTTGCATTTTGTAATTATTAGTTCAGTAAATATACAGAATGATTCTAAATTGCAAAATACATTATATTCTGGTAGAGGAAAAATTGAGAAAAGTAAGACTAAGGGAAATTGATTTTTTTATGTTGTGGATGAAGATATATGTTGTACGAAATTAATAAACTGACTCCTATTCTTCATAACAGCATCTATATAGATTTTTGTTGAATCCGGAATATACCCTTTCTCAAGAAAGGGCCTGTAGTCCACAAAAATTATATAATAATTTTGTTCATAATTAGGGTATCACAGGTCTGTGACCCTACTTTGACCTTCTATTTTTCACTATCTTTACTACTTCAGTTGATGTTTGAGCCAGAACTCAGTTTAAATTCTGTATTTTCTTATCTCTTCGGTTCTTTGCTTCTTTCCTTCCCCTGGGCAGAGACTTATATCACTTCTCTGCTCCGAGTTCCTGGTCTGGTGAAGTTGATATTGTTTACTACTGGTGCATGGAAAGAGAGTATGTAGACTAAAAGCAGATCTCTGTTTTGGAGTTCAACTCCTATAAGCCTTGGACAACATGTCCAGTGGCAACGAACTGTGAGAATTACATCAGTGGAACATTTATTTATCTGCTTTTACAGTACTGGATGAGCTCATGGAACAGTTAAATAGATTTACAATACTAAACTGCCTGGCTGTTATGGTTTGCATCAAACATTACTTTCATAATCTTAGGAAAACTTTCCTGAGAGATAGCATAAATTGCCCCAAGATGTTTCATCTAAAGCAAACCACTTGTTCAAAATCACAGTGATGTATCTATAAATATTTTCTAGCTTGCTCATTGTATTTGTTACAGTATGAATTGGCAATGAAACCCATGCAAAGTTCATTTGAGTTTACCACCCCTTGCCTACTTAAAGTAATATCTTCAGAAATAAACGGAGGTGAATCATCAGTGAGGCGTTTGTTACTTTTGACATTTCACTTGGGTGAGATGTCTATGTATACAAATGAAATAAAAGACTCTTAAATAATGTATCATGTAATAGAAATGCTTTTACTAGTTTGTAAATAATTAATGGGTACGTAGAAAAAATAACTATACTAAACCATGTATGAGATCAACTATAATACTGGAAAATCAGCCGAAACAGACCTCAGTATACAATATAGCTATTGAGTGTGATTAAAAATAAGCTGTAAGAGAAGTGTTTGTTGTATGAACATTTGCCCAAGCTGAAATATCCTAAATGTACAAAACAAAACTGTCATCAAGAAATGCCTTCCCAAATGTTATACTATTGAACTAAATCTTCCTATCCTTTGAATGGATACAATTTAATATGCAGTGTCCCCTACCTCCTAATATTTCCTAGGGCCACATGCTATTTTTCTGCTTATCTACAATATTGAAAAAGTTCCTCTGTTTCACTTTCTCTAACCTAGTACTTACCAGATCCATAGGACTACAACAAATATTGATGGGGTATGATGGAAGCTGTAGTCCCAAGTATCTTGAAGAGCTAGTTAAGAAATATGTTTTCCAATGAACATTTTTTAAAATGTAATTTGAAAAACAAGATCCTCCCTTGCTTTACCTTTTCAATGGCCCCTTTCTAACGACTGAAAATATCAAAAGGAAAAGTCATTCCTACCTGAAATTAGTCAGTAAGGGTAAAAAGGAGTTATACGGAGGCTCACCCATGAACGATATCTTCCTTACTTTAGAGGGAAAGCTGCTGTAACTTCAGAAATGGAATAGTGATCTCACTCTAAGTAAGCAGCAGAACAAACAGCTGCCTGATGCAGAGTGGAAACTGATATGAATATGAATAGCCTCTTCGCTCTTTCTCTTCCCTCTTCTGTGTGTTGCTATTTGAGCAGGAAATCCACGATGAGCCACTACAACAACAACCAATAAAATAAACTCTCTTCCACTAAAAGCTCAAGTGTACTAATGAGCTGTAACTGTTGAGGTTACACCCAGTCTTTAGTTTCATGTAGATATTGTAGGAGAACTGTGTCAGTCTATGGTAGCCAAAAAGAATCCTAGGAATGTAGAACACAACAAAAGGAGTCTGGTAGACCCCTTTCAGACTACTAAATTTCATTAAAAGTCATACGGCTTGTGAAAAAAATGCTGAAAAGATTCCTGTTGTGTTCAGAATATCTCACAAATGTACTGTGCTTGATAAAAATAAAAGAATTCAACAGGATCTGATCTGATTTTAAGGGAGACTTTGCTTTATGTGGTCAGGGATCAGCTCCACATTCCTAGGATTTTTCATTGTTCCTTTAATTTCAGTGTAAACTGGGTGATTCTGAATATTTTTTACAGCAATGCTTCCTAAACCTTTTCCTTCATATCCCTAAACTACTTATCAGAAAGTCCTTTTTAACCACTTATCAGAAAGCACTTATTTAAATATCCCTATTGTGATTGGCTGATGGTTTCATGTGTCATTATCCAAAGAAAAATCACTTTTATCCAATTTTGGGTATAATTTACCCAAGTTTGAGAACTTTTAAGGAGGGTGTAAACATAAACCAACTTGTTTTAAGAGCAAGGAATAGAACTAAGGCTAGATAGAAGTATGAGCAGAAAGGAATTCAATCATGAGTCACTAATTCAGAGTCAAAAATCAGCCAAGCCAGAAGAAAAGATCAACAATCTCATAACATAATAAGTCAGGGATCACAGCGGAAGATATTACAATGGGTGTGTAAAATTCTGATTCCAAAAAATCATTAGGAACTAGTTTCACGACTAGCTGAACATTAAGCAAAACAAATGAATCCAGCCCACATCTAGACAAATGTTCTATGTGCTTTTCTGAGACACAAGTGTCTACTCTAGCAAATAGGAATTAAATTTACATTCCTGAGAGTAACGATTACCCAGACAAGACAAAATAGCCTAAAATGACTCCCAGACTCATTGCTTAATGCTTAATAGCAGATACTGGACACAGTTACAGGATAATGTAAGATCACAGATGCAGAAATACAGAGAAAATAGGGCAAGGTAAATAATAAGTGAAACAGGTTGAAAACATCGATGTTTAAGATAATTAGGACAAAAATCTTATGCATTCAGTGGTTTCATACCACAGCTAGATTTGTTACTAGCTGCATACTGTAGTTTGTAGTTTGACATGTTAATTTATTAATTACATTTGTTGACTGCACACAGAATGACTTTGGGTGGCAGACAATTAAAAAACATAAAAAGTAAAAAAAAAAATCAAAACCTTAATAAAGAAAATATGATCAAACAGGTAAACAACAAACACAATAACCGTAAACCAATTCACAGTGAGGCTTATTTCAATGTATGGAAAAATGCCAGATCTTTAAGGCTTGTCTAAAAGATAGCATGGTAGTGGTAATCTTTGTCCATGATTAGGCCAAATAAGTTAAAACCATATAACGCTGCATGGATTGTCCCTGCAGCTATGTGGGACAGACTGTGAGGAAGCTAACCACCAGATTATAAGGTCATGAGTGAGTGGTTAGAAATGGAGACCTGAAGTTAATGGTAGCCTCACATTGCAATGAACAAGGACATGTATTCAAGGTCCAATCTGGGTCAGTCACTGGGACTAGAGGTTTAGTCTTCCAAGTTTTCAGCCTCCTGTGGAGCCCATTCTTAGGGAACTTCTCTCTACCCAGAATGTGTACTTTGGGCTATTCTATGCATAGTATTGATATGGTGCCTTGTTGCATATGGCTTTTTAATTATTGATTGAGGTGTTGATGGCTAGCTATTGGCTGTTGTTTCCTTGTGCTGCCTAGTCTTTGGCTTCTAAGAACTTGATAAGCTGGTGGTAAATCAGCATTCCTGTTGATTGACAAGGAGCCAGTTTCCCAGGCTTCAATCATTTCCCTGGCTATTTTTGTATCTGCTCAGCCAACAATCTTAGTAGCTGTGGAATTGAATGTATGTCCTTGTTAATTGGCAGCATGGTGGCTCAGCGGTTAAGACACTGGGATTGTCAACTGGAAAGCCAGCAACCCAAGTTTGAGACCCGAGCACCATCCTCTCCCCAGCTCCTACCAACCTACCAGTTCAAAACCATACAAATGGGAGTAGATAAATAGATACCACTTCAGTAGGAAAGTAACAGTGATGTCATGATAGTCACATGATTGCAGAAATGTCTTTGGACAGTGCTGCCTCAATGGCCTTGAAACGGAATGAGCACCACCCCCTATAGTCAGCAATGACTAATGGAGTAAAATCTGCAGGGACTCCTTGATCTTTTTATTTGTCACCTTATTCATTGCAATGTGAGGCTACCAGTGAGTCTGGGTCTTCTCATCTGACTGCTCACTTGTATTCAATTTCACATATATTTAATTTTGCAGCTATTATGATTGTTGGCCAAGCAGGGACAAAAATAGCCAGAGAAATGATTAAAGTCTGGGAAATAGGCCCCTTGTCAGTCAATAGAAATGCTGATTTACCACCAGCCTATCAGGTACTCAGGAGCTGATGGT